AATCCCCCCCCCCCCAACCCACCAAAAAAAAAGATTGATTCTTGATCTAATTTATTTCATAAATCGATTCTTTATCCAAATTGTTTCAGAAATTATCATCGATCAGTTACTTAAATGGGTAAAAAGGAGAAATTTTCTGCTCTCGATATGCCCGATGTCCCAACAGGCCAACTCCCTGAGCATTTAGAGCTTCAGAGAACTCGGGTCGTTTGCAAGTCTGACGCCCCAATTCACTGTTTTTATTAATTAAAATTTAAAGAAATTATCCGCTGAAATATGCTATCTTTGTTTGATATATGAAGACAGAGGGTGTGAGTTACTCTGGTGCTTATGCTGCCATGGGAGTTGACAACAGTCTGCAACTTGATAGCTTCTGCAAGAACTTCAAAGTGGTGGTTAACAAGTTATCTGAGGACGAGATGGAATTCGATATGATTGGCATTGATGCTGCGTTGGCTAATGCATTCAGAAGGATCCTTATAGCTGAGGTGAATGATGTTTGACGTGAATTATTTATTTATTTATGTTTTGATTGGGTTAGAATTTAGAAGTTCTGATTGTGTGTTTTTTAGGTGCCCACTATGGCTATTGAGAAGGTTTTTTTTCTTGATAATACTTCGGTGATTAATGACGAAGTGTTAGCTCATCGGCTGGGGCTTATTCCTCTCGCGGTCGATCCGAGACTGTTTGATGATCTATCGGGTTTGTCTAAGTTATTCTTCTTTGTTTTTGCTTGTTAGGAGTGTTACTACGTTTTAATCTTATAAATTCTCTTTGCAGAAAATGATGTTCCGAATGAGAGAAATACATTAGTCTTCAAGTTGGAGGTTTCATGTGAAAAGGGTGGCCCACGCCGTACAGGTATAATATGTCCTGTATAGGTTTGTTCTGATGGTTGTTGCTTGATCAATGGAGTTGGGTTTTAAGACCAAATCATTGAAGGGTTGAAATCTTTGGGATTATAAGGTTTACCTATATGTTCCTTTGTTTCTTTCCCTTTCTCTGACTTTTCTATGCATTTCCATCATGGTTTTATATCTCAACTCCAGCAAAGCTCTCTATTTCAGTGGCAGTATTATTAGAAAGTTACTGTATGAATTCTAGCTTCTCATGGGAAGATAGTAAAAGATTAATCATTGGTTTATGGAATTAGAGGTGGATGCTTTGTTGTATGCACATGTTTCTCTCTGTTTGTGTGTGTGTGTGTGAGCGTGCACAATGTTCTTCTTTTAGGAAACTTCCAACGTTTCTACCACCTTATTTTTGAAACTCTCCGTGAGCCAAAAAGCTGCAAATGCAAGATCAGAAACCTTTATTTATTTATTGGGGAAAAAGTTCAGATTTAGCTGTTTAACCATTTATTTGAAAAGATGACCATAGTTAAAGCCCAATGGAGTACGTGTATGTCTGTGCCTTCCTGTCAGCTGAAACCTGCAAGAGCGAGATCATAACCTATTATTAGCACTTGAATGGTTTGATCTCTTAAAAAATAAAAACAAAAATAAATAATAATAAAAAGAAGAAAAAAGAAGAAAAAAGAAGTCTATAGCATTAACTTATTGAGGCTTTGTATGTCTCATTCATGAACATTAATATTTTCTTTTTTATTTCTAACCTTTTTCATCTTCCATTTCCTCCACTAAAGGCGATTCCTGGTTATATGTCAATGTACAAAACTCTAGCTCTTGTCTGATACATCATGAATTTTATGTTGATATTCAGTAAAGTCAGATCAACTGAAGTGGCTGCCAAATGGAAGTGAGCTACCGATGGAATTACGTAATCCCTCTGGCAATCAAAAAGGGTATACTTCGTTTAGCTGCAGTCAAGCTTCGCTGCCAGAACTTTCAAAGAATCCACCTAGAGTGAAGCATGGAGATATAATCATATCAAAACTTGGGCCAGGACAGGTAATTCTGTGAATCCTTATTCTTCTTTGGTACCACTTCTTATCTACTTAATGGATTGTTTATATAGTATGAGGTGAGGGAAAAGAGTCTTCTAACAAGCATTACACTAGTCGTCGACATTTCAGATTTTGGCAAGCAAAATGCATCTCTTCCCTTCAATGATTGACTTGCATAGGAAAGATAAACTGTCTTGAAATTTGTTCATTATAGTAGTTAAAGTGAACTGATATCACAATGCCTCTGAAACTTGGATGAGCTACTGTTGATGCCAAGTTAGAAAAATGATCTGTGAACATTAGCAGTTAATTGAACTGCAATAGTAATATAAGAGCAGAGACAAGAAACTACTTGATTGTACAAGGAGACAGATGGACCTAAATGGGCCGGGATTGAGGCAGTAAGAGGACGTGATTAAATTTAACTGAGGAGACTGCCTTTGATGGAATTGAATGGAAGAAAATGTTCATTATAGCCAACCCAGATGGGTGGGTGGGTGGGTGGGTTGGTGAAGGCTTTATTTTTCATTTGTTCTTAATATTGTAGAAGGAGAAACCTATTCATGTATTTGACCCAGGATAAAATCTTCACTCTTATTGTTATTATTATTATATTGCAAATGTTCCTCCTTGTTTGGTTTTTAAAACATTACCTTCACCGCTTGCCATTTATTTTTCACATGTTCTTGTTCGCTTTCGATAGTAACTGTAAATCTGGCAGTGAATGTTTTTTAGCTCTCTGAGCCCATTTCGCCTATCCATATGCATTACATTGTGAACAGAATGTTCAACATTGGGCCATTGGTAATGGGGTTCTTTTCTACACCAGCCAAATAGATTTACAAACTCATCTGTGATAATGTAACTTTGCATATAGTTGTAGTGCAATCTTTCAACTCTTATAATGACAGATGAAGTTGGACAAAACGTAGCTTTAATTGATGTTGAAAGTTTCAATCCTTACATTTTTGTATATATCATTATATTCACAAAAAGATTTATTTTCCTTAGGCAATTGAACTTGAAGCTCATGCAGTGAAAGGCATTGGCAAAACCCATGCCAAGTGGTCTCCTGTGTCTACAGCATGGTACAGGATGCTCCCTGAGGTGTGACACATATAACTATGTTCTTGATTCTATAATTGCTAGGCAATATGGAGATACTTACATATCGCCTTTCGCATTTGAGTTTTTCTTGTAAATATGCTTTGTTATTGTTAGGTTGTCTTGTTGAAAGAAGTAAGAAATGAAGATGCAGAAGGCCTGGCTGCAAAGTGTCCAACAAAAGTCTTTGATATTGAGGATATGGGAAAAGGTTAGGCTTTTATTTTAAATGATACGAGTACTTTTGATGACATTGTCTTTGACTAATAAATCTAGCTTTCAGTTGTGTCTTCCCCTAGTCTTTGCTAGTGTTACTCATGTGAAATAATGTAATAATAATTGTTGATTCGAGTTTAGTAGCTAAGCTAACCTACTTGTATTGTGTGTACACTTCCTGTTGTTAAATGTTGTGATTGCATTGTTGTGGGGTTGTTAGATGTCTCTTTGTTTCATATATGTGCATTGAAAAGATACTGTTATTCATGATTATAATATTAATGTTCGTTACTTTTTTCTTTGACGGCGTCACATTCATTCCATATGAATAAATCTATTAGAATCCATGAATTAATCTGTCAGTTGCTTAATAATATATTTGAGGTAAGGCAGCCAAGGAGGCGCAAGAGAAGTATTGCATACAAGTAACAAATGAATTTTCATTTGTTTCACTTTGCTATTTAAGATAATGTTACTAGAGCTTGCATTTGTTTCCCTTTGTTAGTCCCTTTTTCTTGATCCTCACTTATTATAGCTTTTGATCTTTGTGCTTATTTCCGTTACATCATGAATCTTTTCAATCTTTTTTCATTTTAAGTATTGCTTTATCCTTATATTGTTGTCTATGGTTTCTGGCATCTGGGTAGGTGAGAAGAGAGCGGTGGTAGTAAATCCACGAGCTTGTACACTGTGCAGAGAATGCATTCGAGGGGGAGGCGAAGATCTTGTGGAACTAAGGCGTGTTAAAGACCATTTCATCTGTAAGCCTCTTTTTTTTTTCTCCGGAGTCACACACAGCATGTGTTATTAACAAGAAGCATTCCCTTAAAATCATGACCTGGTGACCTTATACATTATCTGCACAGCATATGCTGTGCTGGTTTTTGCTTTCACCCCATTCAATAAAGAGTTTGGGATCTGGATATCTTTCTTGGTTATTGTCAAAAGTTTAAATAAAAATAATAGGAGAAATCGTTGTTAAGCAAATAGTTCATTTTTATGTTGCTGGGTTTTTTTCCTTTGAAGATGCCTCGGAAATTTTTATGTTCATTAATATAACCAACGAGTTTGGGTTCCAATAATGATATGTCGAGAAGCATGAACTTTGAATTTTGAGAAAATGCAACAGGACTTAGAATTCGATAAAACACAGCAGCATGACAAAAAAATGGGGTCCAGTTTTTGGTCCGGTTTTTTCTAAATAAATTCTAGGTCCAGGTTATACGTGAACGAAACATGTTAAATTTTCATATATATCATATAGGAAACCAACACGAGATAGGCCAACAATGATAAAGATAATCATGATTCCATGAATGGACTTGACAATAATATAATATAGAGATGAGGTAAGTTGTTTCTACTTGAAATAAGCTGCAAAATTTGCATTTCTGGCAACCTTTTTTTGTTTTTGTAATTAGTTATTTTTATCTTGTTGATATGTCAAAGGGATACATCGTTCTTGCTAGTATTGTTGACAAATATTATTATTCACGGTGTGGTCTAATGCTTTTCCCCCCTCCTTAATCTACTTTGTGCAGTTACAATAGAATCAGCAGGAGCTCTACCCCCTGAAGTGCTTTTTACTGAAGCTGTGAAGATCTTAGAAGGAAAATGCGAACGCGTGATCTCCGAGCTTTCATAGTACTTAATAGGTCAAGTTTCATACTTACAACTTATTCGAACTCTCGATATTAACGAAAGAGTTTTCGATTGCGATTGCGATTCTCGAGTGGTTCATATGTATTAATTTAGCATGGTGTAAGAATTTTCAAGCTTGTAAAAGAAACTAAATTAGTTTTGAGTATGGGTAGATAGTATCATTCAATTTCTTATAAGCGCCCTCGTGTTCAGAAAAGGAGTAAATACCCAGGAAAATCACCTGAAATGCCCTCGCACCTGGAAACATCAGCTCATACGACGACATGAAATTAAAAATCGGAAAAAAGCGCAAATTGTCTGTACTGTTGATAATTCCTAGGCTGATGGATTTTAACTGTTATTATGTATTTTGTGTGCTGTTTATGTTTATTTTTCATACGCGAGGGTCCTCCATATGATTTTTTATTTTTCCATTCGCATTGACGCCCAATGAAATTTGGCCACACCTCCAACACACTTTAGCAAGAAGTTAGGTCCGGTCAAAAGCTGGGAGTCCAATTCGATGCATTATTCGCCTCTTTTTTTTTTATTTAATAAATGTTTGATGGTGATTTCGCATGGACAGTATTTCCCGACATTTCTTCTACGATGTCTAAATCATTCTTTCTCCATGTTTCTCTTTCTCTTGGATGAGTAAGAAAAATGACAAATGCATTCTATCACGATCGCCTATTTATTTATTTGGGAAAATATTTGAGGTTTGGGAAGAAGTGATAAAACTTATTTTAAAGGTGGTTCTACGGGGACCCAAAAAACATGAGATCCTACCTGAGACATGTCTCATGATGCACTGTTCATCCCTACATGAGACAGGTGAGGTGTCGGCTCCCTATCCCATGATGCACTGTTCATGAACAGTGCATCACGGGACAAGGAGCCGACACCTCACCTGTCACATGTAGGGTCTCATGTTTTTGGGTCCCTGTGATATTTTTTTTATTTTAAATTGGGGGTTTTGACCTTTATACCCCCACCTATAGTATTTTAGTCAGGTATTTCATTCACCACTCGGATTTATTTTTTAGAGAATATTCTTTAGCATATTTCTTCACGCCTCGTCACTTGTTCAAAACATGGCTCCAATAACCCACAAACACTAAATATGGGAATGATTAATAGGTTGGACTCGTGGAAACATCCAAATAAGTGAATTGGATATATCTAAATGCACAGCAGCACATGTATAAATTGCAAAGTTACAATGATTAGATTAGAATTTCGTTGTGCTCTACTATGCGGTCTCTCCAACGCCTCTCTTTGAGATCATCTGTTAGCTTTTATGAATGTTATTGTACGGATACCAAGTGACTATAATAAGAGTCGCACTTTTTTCTATAAAAGATAAATCTAATAAGTTTTCAATCTATTTAAGTTTTCTTCAACGTTCCCACATTTGAGATGACCATGAGCTCACACCTACGCGTCCTAAAATTAACTTAATAAGAGAGAACACACAAATAATGACTATCCATCAAAGGGGCAAAATATCCGTAAAAGATAAAAAGAGCACATAAATCCTGACCGAAATCAAAATCACAGGTAAAAACAAACTTTACTCTTGAAACACAAAATAAAAATAGAGGTTCATCAGGAAGCATAAAACAAAAGTACGAGCATGGACGGCCAATTTTAACGGTCCCCTATAATAATACTATGCTGCTTTATTTAGTCTAGCTATCGAGACTTTATAAGGCTGAAGAATATTAGCCAAGATTTCTCTAGTCTATCAACCTCTCCTGATAGCCTTCCAACCCCATAAAATGTATAATAGACAATTGAGAAACATAAAAAAAAAAAATGAACTCAAACTCTATTAAACCCATATGGTTTCATCTGCGAATCTATTAAGCCCCCGTGGTTTCATCTGCGAATCTATTAAGCCCCTGTGGTTTTTTTCGGCTCTATTAAGCCCATGTGGTCTCATCTACGAATCTATTAAGCCCTCATTCTTTTTTTTTTTTTGACTCTATTAAGCCTCTATGGTTTCATCTACGAATCTATTAAGCCCCGTGCTTTGAATTTCAAATGGGACTTAATAGATTCGCAGATGAAACCACGGGGGCTTAATAGATTCGCAGATGAAACCACGGGGGCTTAATAGATTCGCAGATGAAACCACGAGGGCTTAATAGAGTCGAAAAAAACCACATGTGCTTAATAGATTCGCAGATGAAACCACGGGGGCTTAATAGAGTTTGAACTCGAATTTTTTTTTATAGAATATTGCTGACGTCATTTAGTCATATTTAGTTTGATATAACATTAGAACTAAACAAGTACCCAAGAGGCTTGTTCCAAAAAAAAACTTCTAATCAAGTGAAAAGAATCCTAAGAAATTGGGTTTTTTTTTTTTTGAGTGGGGGGTAGAGAGAGTATGCTCTAATAATTTGATAATGAGAAGGACTCACCTTTACCATTTTCTTTTCTTTAATTAAAAAAAGGGGATCGTATAACCAACAAATTAAAAACTTTCTTTTTTATTTTCCCTCACCCTTCCCTCTTCTTCCCTCTTCCCCTCTTTCTTCTCTCCTCCGAATCCTCAACAAAAACCCTAAAAATGCGATCTTTAGCTCCCAGGTATTATCTTTTGGATCCCTTCTCTTCCTATTTTTTCGACTTTTTTCATATAATAAACTGATTGCTTAGTTTAGAAGGGTTTCGATCTTTAGCGTTAGGGTTTTGAAGCGGGGGACTCTTGGAATTTACAATAAAAGTATCAGTTCTCTAATTTCTTTCTCTCTTTGATATTTCGTGGTGATTGTCATTTTTTCTATCTGGGCGTTCACGGTGATCAGTTTTTCATAGTGAAAATCTTCGTGGTTGGCGATTTGATTTTTTTTTAAAAAGATATTGTATTCGCTTTCATCTGTCCCCTTTTGTTGTTTTCGACAAATTTTCATGGAGATATTTATTTTCTAGGCTGTTGATTTGGAATCTAGATCTAGAGTTGTGATAACTGATCTTTGGTTTTACCTTTTCTAAATAAATTTTAATGAATATTTTCCCTTTGTTAGTATTATATGATTTTAGAAGTAGCTTACCTTCTTTAGGGGGGCAAAAAAGCTAATTTCTGTTTGTAATTTGCTTATTTAGATAAAGGAGCAATGAAGGAAGAATCAAATCGAAGTACATTTTGGATGGCATGTTTCTACTTGAGATATTGGAGCAGTTTATATATCTCTTTCCCCTAATAAGTTACAGAGATCACTGTTCAGATCGATGGCGTCAAATACCAGCCAAATAGAAGAGCCATCTTCTCAAAGTCCTTCTCCTATTCAAATCCCTAAGCCACTCCAATCAGTACCCAGTATCGCTAAAGGATCGCCAAAATCCGAAGTAATAAAAGGCGCAGAACCAATTAATGTTGCTTTGCTGAACAAAGTTCCTACAAAAACCAATTCTTTGGATGAAAAGTTAATTCAGGAAACCTCCCGGGTAGAATCGCTTCAATTGACTGAGAGCATGAGTCCGGAAAAAGTCATTGAAGACCAAGAAAAGAAAAAATCAGACCAAGGCAGTGGAAAGAATAGCTCTGCTTCAGGTAAAGTTAGTGCTAAGATCAGTGATAGGGCTGAATTTTTGGAGAGTGGCAAGAGTAGTATGTGTCGAGCTAGCACATGCAGTGATGTCAGTGACGAGAGCACTTCCAGCACCATTAGCAGTAGTGTCAGCAAACCTCACAAAGCAAATGATTCCAGATATGAAGCAATCCAGTCAATCAGAGCTAAATATGGTGTTCTGGGTCTGAGCCATTTTAGGCTTCTCAAGAGATTAGGTTGTGGAGATATTGGAAGTGTTTATTTGTCAGAGTTGAATGGGACTAGAAGTTATTTTGCTATGAAGGTGATGGACAAGGTAGCATTGGCAAGTCGCAAGAAGCTGCTTAGAGCTCAGACGGAAAAGGAGATATTGCAAAGTTTAGACCATCCATTTCTTCCAACATTATATACCCACTTTGAGACAGAGAAGTTCTCATGTTTGGTAATGGAGTTTTGCCCAGGGGGAGATCTACACACCCTTCGTCAGAGGCAACCCGGGAAATATTTTTCAGAACATGCTGTCAAGTATGGAACTATTATCTTCATATGCCTCTGGATTTTGTATTAAATATGCGTCTATACTATTTTGTTCGTTTGTTTTTAACGTTTGTGAACTATTTTCCTCTGTGTGGTATGCCCCCTTGGATTTATGGTCATTCATTAAAAAAAAACTATGAATCATATACGA